GGGGGGGGGGGGTCGGGGGGGGGGGGAGGTGCGGGGGGTGCCTTTGGACAGAGGCGAAAGATGTGCCTTGGGGTGCTGGGAGGGGGCTGGTGCCTGAGGAGAGAACAAGGGGCTGCTGCAGGGGGTCTGGGGAAATGGGGAGGGGGATTGTGCTGGGCTGAGGCAGGGGCTGTGGGGTGGAATTGTCTGGTGGGAGGGGAGAGGCTGGAGCAGGGTCCCTGCTGGGGGGGGAGCAAGGTGGCATTGGGATGGGACGGTGCTTTAAAAAAACATTGGTGGAGCCCCTGGGGTGAGGGGAAGGGAAGGGAGGTGTTCCCTGGGGGGAGAGCTTCAGGGAAAGGGGGAGGCTGGGGAAGGAGGGGGATTCAGGCTCGGCCGCTGTGAGAGCAAGGAGGGGATGAGTATCAACTTTTGGCGGGGAGAATGAGCGGGAAGTGGCTCAGCAGGCTGTAGGAGGGCAGGGAGTGGGACGGCAGCCGATCCCGGGGGGTCAGGGGGAGGAGAGCTGTTGGGGAGCGAGCTGGGGGAACGTGGGGCCTTGGGGCTGGGGGAGAGCTCTCCTGCAGAGACCTCAGTGCGGGGCTGGCAGGACGTGGAGGAAAAGGGAGGTTGTGGCTGGCAGGCTGGAAGCAGGGATGTGCTGGGGAAGGGGAGGGGGGAGATGCAGCAGGAGCTGTGTTTGGGTCGAGTCCCTGCTCACCTGCAGCTCGGGCTGGGTGTCGGGACAGCTCCCCAGCAGAGCTGGCTTTCTCCGGCTCCTTCATCAAGAGAGGAGGTTTCGGAGCTGGGGAAGTCGAGCTGCACTTGGAATGCGAGTTGCAAAGCATTTGGGGGAAGAGTAGGACTTCTGGAAAGGGAAGGTGATGGAGCCAAAATGGGATTTGTATCTCTGGACAAGGAGGTGGTGAAGCTTTGTCGAGGAAGTGGCAGATGGGGAACTGCCCCGGGAGTGCAGGGGCTGGCCGAGAGGGTGGCAGCAGGGTTTGGCTCAGGGTTGTGCTGTGAAGCTGACCCACTCCCACGTGGCATGGAGGAGATGGCAGGGACTGGAAAGTGGCCTGAGTTTGGGTGGGGAGCATTGGAGACGGGGGGCTGAGTGTGAGGATCCCAGAGGTGGGGCAGTGCTCTTGGCATTGGGTTGATCAGTTTGGAAGCGGCAAGCTCATATGTTGTCCCTATAAAACCGAGAGATCAAAGTATAAAAGGGCTTTCTGGCTGAATAATTACAGGCTCTATCTGTGAAAGATTTTATTAACTTTAGAAAAAAAACCAGCAAAAATCCCTTGTGCATTTGAGAGAGGAAGGTGTTTGCGATGGGTATGTTTGGAGTCAACGGTCCCCATAGGGTTTGTGACCCAGGCACACTTTCCTATTAGTGCTTGAGAACCTGGTAGTGAAAACGATGAGAAACAGATGTGGCTGCTCTAACCCCACTGCCCAATGCCAGTGAAATGCAGAAATAACCAGGTGAAGGGCCTGCGAGTGCTGGCAGGCAGCTCCTGAGCGTGGGGCTGCTGGGGGAAATGCCCCCAGATGCAGTCACTCTGTCCCTAGGGATGAAGGCTGACAGAGGAAGGTGCTGTAGGGGCCTGGGTTTGCTCGTGAAGAGGGAGAGGGGGCATTGTTGGGGGGCCACTGGAAAGCTGGGAGTCCTGCAGCACTTGGGACAATGTTTTCTCGCCTTTCTACAAAAGGAAGAAGAACGTTAAATCCCTGCTCTGACTCCATGAGTGTTTATCTGATCTAAAGAGTTCAGAAGTTGTGTCCACCTTCACATTACAAAATTCCTGTCTGCATGACGGGATTTCTTACCTCAGGTTCTCTTTTTTCAGCAGGGAGGTAATGTTCCTACTGCTGCATGTGTGTTTCTCTTAAATCCAGAGGTGCATTCTCTCATGGATTGTGAATTTAACTGGAAATGATGTGGCTGAGCTTGAAGGTTGTGGCTTTTCTTTAGTTTGGTCTCCGCTCAAAGGCTTGAGCTTTCACTCAAACTTTCCAGAAATGTTTTCTGCTGTTTTCAGGTTCTGGAGAGTGGAAGACTTAACATGCTCGTTCCCACTTCAAAAGAAAGATGCCTGCTGCCTTTCCCTGGCGCGTGTGGAATAAACTTGGCGTGCTCATAAGTCTTTAAAGAGATGAGTGATCCCAGCCAAGTTTGAGAAAGGCAGGAGGAGGAAATGTTTTAAGTTTAAAACTCATTAAAGCTGAGCTGAACTGTTAATCCTTTAAGATGCAGCTAATGGAACTAGTCTGTATGCAAATTAAACCTCTGGGTCTCCACATTTTTCTTCGTAGTCTGGTCTTCCTTTCCTTTGTTAAACTTTCTACTGAAAAGATTAGCACCAGGCATCACGGAATGGTATTAGGTAGAGCTTCGCGATCTTCCAAAGATCCAGCTGGTCCCAGCCAGCGGGGCTGAGTGAATTTGTATTTGTCTGGTAGTGGTTTCACTACCTGGATGCTGTTCTCCAGGAGATCTCATGCTACCAGCATGTGCTTCACTCTGATCTACTGTGATGACATGCTGTCAATGCTAGCTCTTGCTCCTCTGTCTGCTCCTGCCCCAATAATGCAGGCTTTTGTACACACCTTTGTGCTGGGTCTCTTTCTTCATGGCCTTCTACCGGAGTCTGAACTCTTTTCAAGTGGCTTAGGTGTGTCCTGGATCCTTTTCCTCTTAGCTGCAGTCCAAGAAGTTATGCTTTTGGTGTCTCTCTGTTCTGCTTTCCTCTTCACAAAGGATTTCAGCTTTGCCTTGAGTGTTAGGTAAGAAGCAGCGAATGAAAATGGAAAGATCTGGCATAGGCCCATCCTGAGTCTGTCTTGAAATCATATTTTTCAGTGTAAGCCAACTTTTTTCACACATTAAGTGTAGAAAACTGAAGCTAAATTTTAGGAAACATACTACTGATGAAGTCTCTCTCAGGCAGGAGTCATCTAGCCCCAAATTCTATAGACATGAGACTGCTCATGTAAATGTAATAGGAGTTGTCTGCCCTTCCCAAAAATGCCAAGGCAAAATGAAATGGCTTCGTTCTACACCTCTGTGCACAGGAACTTGGTGTGAGTGAAATGTGTTTATTTGAAAGCTCTGGAGATGAGGGAGTAGAGCACGGGGTAAGTCTTCCTTGCGCTGCGTGTCCAAGTAGACGGGGATTGTTCAGCCTCTCCCCCTTCCTCCAGAGACTAGAAACCAGTCAGTACTTCGGGTGGCTGTGGTTTGTTTTTAATAACTAAAATTGGAGGGTTTGGATGTTCCCGGTCACAGAAGGCTGAAATCTTTGTCGAGCACTCTGTTCCACAGAGGCATTCCTGACGTGGAGGAAGAGGGTGTGGGGAGCAGCTCAGATGCTTCGCAGATAAAGCCACGAGTTGAGTTTGTACCCCCCCGGGGGGCTGAAGTCCCTTTCTCACACTCGAGCTGCGTTTTTGACTGCAGTGCAGTGAGGGGCCTGTGCAGCAGCTTGTCTCTGTGCTGCTGGCTCGAACACTAAAATCTGTACTGTCTTTAGCAGCAGACGCTGTGAACTACAGCTTGGCCTTATCTGCCCAGAGCACCTTTCTGGCTTGAAGGCTCCGGAGGCAAAACCAGACATTGTCCCTGCTACAGGGACAAATGCCGAGGGGACGGCTTGTCAGCAGGCAGCTGGGTGCCAGCCCTGTGCCTGCGTGGGAGCGGACATCTTGAGAACCCACAGAGGCAGAGCAGGCCCGTGCAAGGGGGTGACACTGGCACTCTGTGGTGTAAATGCCTCTAGCAGAAACAGGGAAACATCTGCTGAAAGGAACGGTTCCTGAGTGTCTGGGGACTTCAGAGAGGTTGCTGCCTGCCATACGCTTAAGATATGGTTGCTGCAGCCCTTTGGTATATTTGTCTCTCCCCTTGGCAAGCTTTTTCTCAAACTGCTCCTGGCCTTGGATTTGCATTTTCTCTGCCCAACACTTACCACAATAAAACGATGCATCCGCAGTGTTGCATTGCTTGCATTGCTCTGCTGCCTCTCTCTATTTCCCTTTCCACAGCTACCTGTCCTACACACCACCTCTAGTTCTAGCAACTCCTCTCTGAGCTCATCTTGGCCAGACTTTACCATTAGACTCTTTGATCCAGTTGCCTTCTTAGGAAGCTGCTCAAGTGGCCTGGCGATCCAGCTGAGCATCGTTAGGTGCCTTGAAAACAAGTCCATCTCCAAGCAATAACCACAGCACTTTCGAATAAAGTCCTTTTGGCTGCAGCTGAACAGAAGTCCCTGCTGAGAGAGGGGAAGCCCGAGATCTAGCCCCTCCAGGTTGTCTTGGAATTTATTTGCTGGTAGTAGCCAGAGGAGCAATGGCACCTTTTTGGGAATCTCTTCTGCTGTGGCATGCTTGGCTCTGGCCCCCTTCTCTAACGGCCATGCGGTGCCAGAGGAGGAGGATGGAGAGGAGGAAGGCTGTCCTGCACAGGAGGAAGGAACTGCCTGAAGAATTCAAGAGTGAAACACGATCTCTTAGCTTCCCGCTGCAGCGCTGGCTGCTGTTCTGGGATTAGATGCTGGCGGTGGGTTGCAGGCTTTACATTGTTGTATTGCACACCAGCTGAGGTGGTGCCAGGCAGCCTGGCCTCCTCCTCGGTGAGTCTGCAGGCAACCAGGAGCCTTGCTGCTTTGGGTTTGCCTCCGTCTGGCATTTGATTAAAGATGCTGTCAG